TCATGAACGTCCTCCTCGGAGGTGCTGCCATCTTCGCCTCTGTAATATGATGGAGAATTTTGTTCAAAAATGAGATGCATGTATTCCTTTTTTCCTCATTATAAATGTCAGGTTGGGGGAAAAAAAGTCCTTCGACACTTCAAACAACTGCTCTTGTAAAAATCAAAAGCAAATCGAAAAATTTAATATTTTTACCCACAATTATTGGAGTGCTCCCTTAGGTTTTCGCAGACGGGTATCTTAGGGCTGTGTGAAAGCGTTCAGAGCTTGAAAGCCCCCAAATGTCACGCAACTTTCCGGCACATCCCATATTATGAGTTCCTGTAGGGCCGTTCCGCCGTAGTCGAGGGAGCTAACACATGCATTTTGTTCATGAAGGATGTCGCTTGCAGTGGCAGAGTGTCCCGATTCTATCAGTGCTTGCACATTTTATTCGAAAATAGGCAACGCGTAGGTGAGCCACCAATACAGAATGACGGCCGTTTACTCAACGAGGCGCAGCCGAACGTAATTACCACTAAGTTGTTTCCAGGGAGCATTTAATTTTCACCTGCCACGCAGCTTCACCGCAATGTCAATTATAGGGGAAATTTTTTGTGGATGCCACATGTGTTGCACCAGTCTGACAAAGCTCACCAAATGGTCTTGACTGAGTTTACTCCTCTCTGTACACATTGAAAAGACTGTGGTTAGTAACGAGGGCTGGGTTCCTTGCGTACACCATGCACATTACCTTCACAGGATCCCTCCAGGAGAAGCCGCCCGTTCAGCGAGAAGCTTATGCACGGAAGTAAGATTCCACAGTGTCATTGGTGGGACTTCGAAACATTTCGCTGGATACTGGCACAGGTGTGATGGCCATCCTACGGATGACCTTATGCTTAGTTTCATTCTAAAACACTCAATTTCTTTCCACTCCTCGGCAATGAATGTGGCGATGAGGCTACGCCGGAAGATTATGGATCTCTATCAGAATGGGACCGTACCCAGCATATTCATCGAACTTAGCAGCATCTAACTACCATCTACAGTCGTCATCCATGCACTGACGCGGTTGCCGCAGCAAATCGCAAAAAAATACAGTAAAAGAATTAGGGAGAAAATGGCTAAATAGGCTCAAAACAGCTGATCGCCGCGGTCGTGACGCGCCGCAGCCGCGTCTGCGACCCTTTGACCGCCTAATCAACTGCCCGGATGACGACTGTACTTCGATATGTACTGCATCCTTCAAACAGCAAAAATCCTGAAAATCTACGTCTACTCGAAAATGGGGTCCACATCTTTGCCGTAGCTGCCGTTGTTCTGCAAGACTGGAATGGAATGGAGAAACTGCAAAGGGTTGGTACTTGTCTTAGTTATTAATGATGATTTCCTCGTAGATTGGATGTGTCGCTTATGGTTAGTGGAGGAAAACTCGATCCGAACTTGGTCAAAGGGTCGCAGGACTTTTTTCTAACCTTACAGTTAGCACTACATCTCGAACGACGGAAATAGCCCAGTCGCACGGGTCCCCACAACCTATGTAATTTTATGCTCTCCTATTTTTCCCCTTACTCACCTTCTACCCCTTCCTCGATCAGTCTCCTTCGGTAACACTTCTTCACGATACCATTGAAATATCCCAAGTAAACCAGCATTACTCCTCGCAATAATCCACCAAACATTATCTGAATACGCTCTCAAATGATAACTGAGAGATGAAAGATCTACTAGATGCAATTCACTTGTGTTAAAGCGTCCATCATGCTTCTTTCAGGAGACGCGCCAGCAGTGAGGATATCTAAAGAACAAATTATTAAAAAAGACCAACTTTGACTCGGTCAAAAGGATGCTAAACGTACGCACTGTGCCTTTACCTGTGAGGTAGATCCTTCACGTGAGCGAGCAGGACAGATGACAGCCATGGTCACATCTTATTTATGTCTCCTCCCGCTAGATATATAAGTGCACGCCACAGCCGCCCCATCTGACCGGCCGTGTGATTCTAGTAGGGTGGTGCGGCCAGCCATGCGGCTGTCCGTGTGCCGTATGGCGTGGCTGTGGAGCGCAAATAAAATATTAGGTTGTCCCAGAAGTTGGTGACCATTTCGAACATTTTTCGAGTCAAGTTTATCCCAGTGAGAAGCAATTTTGATAAAGAATACATATATGTTACCTTCATCGGCAACTTGTTGCCAACCACCAGGCAAAGAGTGGTTGCCTTAATTCCAGAAGCCTCCTGCTTTCGTGCCGAGGAAGGCAGCTGAGTCGTTTTTGAGGTACTTTCAAAATCATATTTTTTTACAGGAGTCAGAATCCCGAGCCAGGTATCGTTGTCGAACATGACGACCCCGACAGGGAAGTAGACAAACAGTGTTTCTCGGCGTCCCCCCCGCCGTGTGCAGGACAAAACGGTGGGAATTTTCATCCCCCTTTTGCAGTTGATTACAACAGGATACGCTGTTACCACAGTGCCGAGAAGAAGAAATTCCTTCTTAGGAAGAGACAAGAAACCACACCACATATACAGTCTCACCACCCTCTTGGACTGATAGGATTGCGCGACCGGTTCTGTGCATTCTAGGGAGTCTAGCCAGTGGCGCTTCCTTCATCCAGTCTGCATGGCGGAAGCGGGAGAGAAGTTGTACCCACATAGTGCTCCCCTTGAAGGTTATTGGTTCCAAAACCTTAGAAAAATTTTGACCGAACTTTAATGCTTTTTTGAAGGAAGCGAGGCCCTCTGTGATTCGTGCTTCAAAATAGTTAAGTATGAGGACTAGATAGCGAGTCGATTCCTACGAATTGCTTTTAATCACGGAACACAGTAGGTCCAAAGATTAAAGCGGCAAGAGTGGCCAGGGCTTTCTCCCAGATTAGAAAAAAAAAAAAAAAAAACCGGAAAACACCAAGCAAGGCAAACCACACACACCAACACACCCAACCGCAAACGCAAAACTCCAGCCGATAAGCGAAGCGACGGGCGAGGGACGGTAAAGAAGCTGTGGGATGCTTAGTTAAAGGCAGCGTCCGCGATCAACCAAAGTGAAAAAACCCTCCACTGAAAATGAACGCGGAGTTCGCAATCACAGCCAAATCCACCTTGCGGGGCTCGCAACCCATCGTCATCAGCTTCCTTCCCGCGGGTTGACGAGGGCGGAGTCAACAGAGCCGGGCTGACGCCTCCTGTCCTGTTAATCCCGCCCCGACTGGTTGACAGTTATCAATGCTTGCTGGCATTGATATACGCTGAATTTCTAGAGTTCCGAGGCGGCGACGTGTATTGGAGAACTCACCAGAAGTTTGCGAAACTCGTCCACATGCCTTAAATTTCATAGGGTCTTATTTCACGCTCTTCCACACCTTTTTCCTGCTTTTTTTGATTAGTGCTTCATTGGCCACCTGTTCTAGCAAATGTGACCCCTGAAACCTGCCAAAGTCCATCGCGGGCGCTGTCTTTAACACACTTCCCATAGACCACATAACTGGATCTCGAATGGCAACGGAAAGAACTGATACAAGATTCTAAGAATGGTCACGAACTTTTGGGACAACCTAATAATAGGCGAAACGTAAGAACCGCCGAGTTATCAGGATTGATATGCACTCACGAGTGGCAGGCGTGTCACACTTCTACTGCTGTAGGTCCACCGTTTCCCTTCCACATGGGAAGGATCCACCTCTCAGATAATCGAATAGTGCATCTCTATCAAAGGTAGAGATTGTACACTTACCTCAAGGGACTCTCCCCATCATGTGCGAGGAGCATCTCTCGCAGCTGCAGTACCGCGCCACTTTCTTCACTAAAAAGTACACGGGGACGGGGCTGTAGAGAAGTGGAACCCATGTGCCGTCTTTATACTACGCCCGCGCTATCCTCCAGGTAGAGCTTTCGCGTCAATATCATGATCCCGCAGCGAAACAGACACTGTGATAGAGGAGAGAGCGTAGACAAGTGGCGCGCTTGGCCACGGTTAGGCGTGCGGCAGCACGGATGGAGTATGACGACGGGACCTGATTGTACTCCGATCGTACGACGGGATCACCACCCTCCACCCCGTTCCCGTGCACTTTTGATCGGAGAAAGCGTCACACTTCTGCACCTGTAGACCCATCCTCCACACGTACGGCAAGGAACAGAATTGAGGGAGGTGAATGTAGAGTTTTTG